GCTGTAATCGTCCAGTCTCGATAACGGATGTGTCTTTACTCTGACCTCTGGTTTGCCTTCCTGACGGTGGTCGCCACCCCACCACCCACACGGGCGGTGGGAATCTGTTCAGTTGTCCTTTAATATCTTGCATCAACAGGACATTCAGATTTCTGGCTCCTGTCTCGTTGGCAGAGTGGATCACTGCTTCCACTAGAAGACGCTGGAAAAGTCAAAATGTTATACCAGTCCAGCCACCACATCCTCACTTCCACATCTTGGATGCCAGAAAAGAAGAAAAAGGAAGTAGCTGCAAAGGACAGTGAGATATCCAGCTGTAATTTTTTTAAAGCCTGGGTGATTCTAATATATAGCCAAGGTCAAAAACCACTGGTTTAGTGTACGCGAAGGGAGCACTTCCAGCTCCATGATCGTACTGTCAAAGCAGCTCATGCTGACTCCGAAAAAAACAAACTGTCACAGAACTACAAATATGACCTTCAAGGCTTTTTTGGTTTGGTTGTTTGTTTTTAATGCATTCCAACCCAGCAGAGTTTAATGACTTTATTTCCTTTAGAAAATACGCATCTATCTCCCAAATATGTATGAAATAAAAGGGGATGGTTTCATCAACTGCTTAAGTCTAAATAAGACACATTCCTTGCTTAGGTGGCCTATCTTAAAATCTTACTGAGGGCAATTTGAAGATAGTGACCTAAAATGCTAATAAAGTCAGACAGTGGCATACTCTCATTGTACAAGAAAAACGGAATAGTTCAGACTATGGTGGAAGAAAGCCACTCCATTAGTGCGAGGCAGCTGATAAGCTTCGTCAGTGCCGGCTTTAGACAAGAGTCTGATAAAAAGCAATTTTGCCTGTCAGTAACAGGATGTAGTCCTGACCCTTGAATACGGAGCAATTTTTCTATCAGATAAATAATAAGTAGCCCAGTAACCAGAGAGTTTATGCAGCATCACTTTTTTTGAGCAAAAAGATCAACCTCTACCACTGCAGAGTTGTTCCTGGCAGCCTTTCTAGTTCAATCTGTGCAAGAAGCAGAGAATAAGGTTAGCCCTCAGATTACCCTAAGATACAATGAATAGGGACACTGCCCCCTGGATACAAGATATACCAGTACAATATCAAACAGAACTGCCTGAAATTTTATCTACAGCAAAGGCCAAGGAATGGTCTCATAGAGAAAATGCCCTTCACAGTATTTTCTCCCAAGCTTCTTTGCCAAGCTGTTGCGGGGACTATATATTCTTCAAGATTACCATGATCCCATAGCTTATGCTGACTAACGTATACGACTTCTTGTTATAAGAGAAATTTGCAGCCCTTCCAAAGGAAGTCATCAACATATTTCCCAAGATTACAAAATTGAAAGTTTATAAAGGGACAGAGGTCAGAAAGATAGGTCATTTAGTTGCACTCAGTCATTACATCAACTTAATTAAATCTGAAAATGTATTGTTTTCTAATAGAGTAGGCACTTTAAGAGTTTGATAATCGAATCACCAAAGTACCTCTCCAAGTGTCCTCCCCATGGACTCTATGAACTTTGTTGGAAAGAAAACCCAACAGTAACGTGGAAGACACAAAAGAGAACAGGAATATATGGAATAGGAATATATATGAGATGGGTGGTTAGGAAGAGATTAGGAATTTTCTGATAATACTACTGAAGATGCTCAATGATAACTCAAAAGGCATTCTTTAAAATGCAAACAACTCAAATTATCTGTCGACTGACAAAAGAATAAACAAAATGTGGTGTATTAATACAATGGAATATTATTCAGCCAAAAAAAGAAATGAAGTACTGATACATTCCACAACATGGATGACCTTGAAAATATTATGCTGAATATAAGAAGCCAGACACAAAAGGCCACATGTTGCACGATTCCATTTACATGAAACGTCCGTAACTGGCAGATCCACAGAGACAGAAAGTAGATTAGTGGTTGCCAAGGGCTGGGGTGGAGAAGGAATGGGGAGTGACTGCTAATGGGCACAGGGCTTCTTTTTATTTTATTTTTTTATTTTTTTATTTTTATTTTTTTTATTTTTTCTAAAGATTTTATTTATTTGACAGAGAGAGACACAGCAAGAGAGGGAACACAAGCAGGGGGAGTGGGAGAGGCAGAAGCAGGCTTCCCGCCGAGCAGGGAGCCCGATGCGGGGCTCGATCCCAGGACCCTGGGATCATGACCTGAGCCGAAGGCAGACGCCTAACGACTAAACCACCCAGGCGCCCCAACAGGGCTTCTTTTTAAAATGACGAAAATATTCTGGAATTAGAAGTAATGGCTGCACAGTCTGAATACACTAAAAACCACTGAATCATATATTTTAAAGTGGTGAATTTAATGGGGTGTAAGCCATATGTCTTTAGTTCAGCATTTCTACTGCCCCTTAAGCCTCTCTCTGCTCAACAGAGGGCCTGCCTCTCAGGACACCCAGTGTGTTAGACTTCAGTGTTGCCCTATTTATGACATCAAGAGGAAGTGATCTTACGGAAAGATTTAAGCGCTCATACCATTTTTATTTCATCATGTTTAAAGGGAAAGCGTCAAATCAGGATACCTAGTGTCCTCTTTGGCCACTCAGGTGAAAGCAATCCAAAATGCCCCTACTGTGACAAAAGCAGGTTATCCAATTATCCTGGGGCTTTTGTTTTCTAAAGGTCAATTCTTTTTTTTTTTTTTAATTCTTATGTTAATCCCCATACATTACATCATTAGTTTTAGATGAAGTGTTCCATGATTCATTGTTTGTGCACAACACCCAGTGCTCCATGCAGAATGTGCCCTCCTCAATACCCACCACCAGGCTAACCCATCCTCCCACCCCCCTCCCCTCTAGAACCCTGTTTGTTTTTCAGAGTCCATCGTCTCTCATGGTTCGTCTACCCCTCCAATTTCCCCCGCTTCATTCTTCCCCTCCCGCTACCTTCTTCTTCTTCTTCTTTTTTTTTTTTCTTAACATATATTGCATTATTTGTTTCAGAGGTACAGATCTGAGATTCAACAGTTAAAGGTCAATTCTTACTGAGTTACTTCTTTACCTATCAGATGACGAACTGCCAATATTAAAATATCTATAGCATTTCAGATAGTCCTGAGCCTCTGACCAGTACGTTTTGAAAAAGATAAGCCATTAATTCTAATCAAGATTCATTCATCTCATACTACAGAACTGTGTTAGAGTACCAATGTTTGATCACTCAAAATAATGACTTCTGATTTCGAAAAAGTCTTTTGGTACCTTTTCATTACACCACTATCTTTGTCAACATGTGTGCAGTGCTAGGATCTTTTGTTTGATACACAAAACAGAACACTCATTCATAAGTCTGGAAGTAGAATGAATATGGATTCAGTTAACTATCTGCCACTATTGATCCTAGATTGTTATCTTAGCCTTCCTTGAAGTTACCAAGTGACCCACTTCTGACTGTATTGTGAAAGACTGCTTAACAGGGAAAAAGTACTTAGGAATGCAACGCCTCCTCAGTTTATCTACATGAGGTGCCATCTGTTCACAAGCAATGTCTTCAGAGAAAACCGTAATTGCACAGAGGGTGGTCATCACGTTACCAAGGTCACACCACATGCAGTGCATCCAGAACAACAGGTACAGCAGCAGGCAGACAGAGCACTACTGGAGCACAGGTTTGAAGAGCATCTCTAGAACCAGCACTTGGGGTGCGTGTGTTGGCAGTTTGAAGGGGAAGAGGAGGCAACAAGGGTGTCCTGTCCTTGTGAGCTCTTTCACTCTCTATAGAATGACACTTTAAACTCCTTTTAAATTTCAAAGGAAGTCCTGATAAGGATAACCTTTGAGTGGGTATAACCTGTACACCCCAGATAACAAATCTGGGATACTGACTCTTGGGTTCTCTACACTCAAGGGTCACAGTGATCAAAAAAGAATTTCTAGGTTCAGACACAGATGATTATAAATCTCTAATAAATGAGTACCATATAGCTTATTCAAGATTATGCATGGAAAGAGAAGCATAAATAAATCTCCAGAGATTACATCCCCTAAGAATTGAATTATCTGTAACCACAATCATACAAGTGAAGCCATCATTATACATTTGCAGGACCTAGATCAATACAGGACATGGTTTACAAGAACATGGTACCCTCTATAATGTCTACCTCTTACAATACTGTGTTATTCAGATTAGAAAACTAAGCAGCACAACTCACCTTAATGGCGACCCTAGTTCAGAGGCAAATATGACAAATCTAAAATCCTCAACGAGTTTAAAGACCTTTTCAGTCAATATTTTATTTTCCATCTGTAATTTATCAAAATTACTTACCAGAAGCAAAACGGACATATGGAGTTGCCTTTCTTCCCCATGTATTATTGTTTGGGGACATTAAAACTGAAGAGGAACCACAGAAACAGAAGCCTAGAAAATCCACAAACTATATATTGCTATATAATCATACTGTTTATGCATATACTATGAAAATAAAAAATAAATATACAAAAACAGACACACTTAGCCTTAAGATATCTCAAGTACGATAAGGAAGATTCCATTCCCCTATCAAAGAGACTCCTAGGGTATATTTCAAATGTGTTTTCTCAAAATAATTAGTCAAGAGCCCATGATTCCCAAACCTGGGCCTGCATTTTCTAAGAAAAATGAAGATCAATGCAATGTTCTATTATGTAATTTTAAAAACACACCATCTCCTCCCCATGGTTTTCTAAGTAAATATCTGAGCAGCTAAGTAGTTACTCCTACAACTAAACAGCTTTCAATCTACTATAACCTAATTACTTGAAAAACAGGATACCTTGGGGGGGGAAAAAAAACACTAATTCCTCTGTGAAAGGAGAAACTGGATAAATTTAGTTGTCACTGAGTAGTAAGATTTATGGACCTCCTTTATTTCTGCCTCCCTGACAACCACATTGTTTTGGTACCTAACTAGGCAGAGGATGATAATTAGTAGCTACTGTCATGCTATAATTAAAGATCAAATACCTTAGTTGCTTCAAGAACTCAACATCAGAGTTGCTATTAATAAGCTTGATGAACTCTTCATAAGAAGGAGCATAGGTGTAGGCTCTCTTGTGATGTTCATTCATCTGCTCTCTGCGCTCCAACTGGGCAAGTAGCATCTGGTTAATGTAATCTGGATTACTAAGTAAATCCACTACTGGCTTCAAGACTGTGGGAAGAAGAAGAAAGCACCACTGAGAAAGGTATTGTCCTTTAAAGGAATTGTTTTTCTTTTTCTTTTTTTTTTTTTTTTTTAAAGATTTTATTTATTTATTTGACAGAGAGAGAGATAGCGAGAGCAGGAACACAAGCAGGGGGAGTGGGAGAGCGAGAAGCAGGCTTCCTGCCGAGCAGGGAGCCCGATGTGGGACTCGATCCCAGGACCCTGGGATCATGACCTGAGCCGAAGGCAGACGCTTAACGACTGAGCCACCCAGGCGCCCAGGAATTGTTTTTCTTTTACAGAACTGAAACCACATTTGGGAAACGTTTTTAAACTACCCAAATGGGAAAAATACAAACAACTCAAATATTCAAAAATGCGTGTGCGTGTACATACAGCTCCCTCTGGGGGGTATGCTACCAACTACGGCCACAATCAAGTGGTTGATTTAACAAACGAGTTAAGTTTAAAGGAATAATGAAAGAAAGTCATCTGCAACCCAGGTTCCTAACAAAGACATCAAAATTAAGTACACTGATTATTTTCCTTTTATCTATTTTTTTATAAGGCTCAATAGGTTTTGTCTGCCAAAAGATGAAAGTGAACGTTCTCCCAACTGGTGAATGCAGACCTCAAGGAAGAAGTTGTCAAGAAGTCAATAACACGACTACAAACTCATCCTACTAACTTTAGGTTAAAAGGTTCCCTTTTCGGGGTGCCTGGGGGGCTCAGCTGGTTAAGTATCAGAGTCTTGATTTGGGCTCAGGTCATAATCTCAGGGTCCTGGGATTAAGCCCGGCGTCAAGTCTGCTTGAGGATTCTCTCCCTCACCTTCTGCCCCTCCTCCCCACCACTTGCACACATGCATGCTCACACATACTCTCTTTCTCTAAAATAAATAAATAATCTTAAAAAAAAAAAAGTTGCCTTTTCTGGGGTACCTGGGTGGCTCAGTTGGTTAGGCAACCAACTCTTGAGCTCAGCTGAGCTGTTGATCTCAGGGTTGTGAAGCCAAAAATAAAAAATAAAAATAAATTTAAAAATTCCCTTTTCTCTATATTTGGTATCCACTAATGACCACAGACAATAAATGAGACACTCAATCAATGCATATCAAATGCAATGTTATTTGAGATTTTGAGGTAAGAGAAATTTCTCTTAGGTCTTATTTTCTTCCATTTTTCATATTCTGGCCAAGCATCTCCCTCATTATACGTCCTTTAGTAATTACATTATACTGTGGTACAGTTCCTTTTTTGTTTATTCCAAGTTCACAAAATTACATATAGGCATTATCAATGAATCTTCTATCTTAAAAGTATTTTAAGTAAATGCACACTAGAGTTTGAGTACAGGTATTCTTTCATTGATGAATATATTATTGACCTGGATAATTCAAAAGCTACCCTAAAGGGATGCTTCCCTGTGAAGAACATAAGGACTCATTATCCTTTGTCAAAATAAACAACAGAATGGATTATGCATTTGGCAACATGTTACATAAAAAACTTGGTTATCATGGATGGCCAAATAATGCTGTCTTTGAGTGACACTTCACATTTGAAAATCTGAAAATATCTTAGCTCCCACATGTCCCATGATATACAAGGTCCGCATAGGTCTATATAAAGTGTTATCCACAGTAGTATGCAGAACATTTGTTTGCATATCATTTGTTTGCATATTTGTTATCACATTAGTAATAAGAATTATTTATAAAAGTCTACCTTTTGTTGTGAGTATTTCTGCAAGCATTATACGTAAGCTGAGAGACTGGACATCCTTTGAGGGAAGGAGACAAAACACCAGAACCCGAGAACACATTTGCAGGAATCTCACTTCATCATATGAGTTCCTCAAGCATGTATGTAACACAAAAGGCCTTGGTTGTTCTTCATGTCTAAAAGAAATTAATGAAGAGAAGGAAGAAGAAGGAAAGAAATTTCTGGAAACAATTTGGTTATGTATCAAGTATAAAATATCTCAAATGGACAATACATGTTGTAATAATTGTGTCCACTCCTCAAAAATGTCAACAGCTAATAATTTTCTCAATCACAGACTAATTTAGAAAAATGCTAATGCATGCCCTTGCAGGATTTCAAACCTTAAGTAGCATCAACAATTACACGTAACTCCCAAATCACAGCAACAATCCAGAAAAGTCTGAGTGTTTCTTTAACTGGATTATTTTTAAGTCCCCTAGATGTCTTCTTAAATGTGATCTACAGCTTCATTTTTCAAAAAAAACTTAAGAAAACATAACCAGGGTCACTAGACAGCTTTCCTGACTAAGTAATCATGGGATAAAAATGCTACGGGTTTTCTACTGAGGAGCAGGTCCATGACTTACTTGATGCTACAGAAATTGTGGCGAATTGCCTTCTGTGAGGTTCCCAAGTATTTTCTAAAGAGTCTTGCCAACTGTGGTCACAGGCTTCCCTATCAGCACTGACCCTCTCCTCATCCCAGGACCATTAATTTGGAGGATCTGAGTGAAGAGAAGTAGAAAGTAGAACTTTCTGTACCTCCTTTTCGCACAGTACCTTGATAGGAGTAGTTCAAGAAAGACTGGGAAGTTCATTTTTCTAATACCTTCCAGATAAGAGACAACGTTTATGGACTTCTTATATTAACTAAATACAATGCACCCAATCCTGGGCAAGGGGTGACACTATGCAGAGCAGAAGGAATCACACCAGGTGCTTCACAGTAATGAAACAAATGCATATTAGTGCCTTTTACGACTAGCACCTCCGGAGTGTTGATGGCAATTTCTTTTTGCACTGGACAATGAAGACTAGTTTCCAGAGTAGGTACTCTAAAACAGAAAGATTTCCTCTTTGTCTTCTACGACAAGCAAGAAAAATTCAATGCTAATATGAAAAGCCAACAAAAGAAACAGATTTTAAGAATAACCCTTTACATATATAGTGATATATGTTGACTCTTTAAAAATGGCATCTTCAGCTGGCTCAGTTGGTAGAACATGAGACTCTCGATTTGGGGGGCATGAGTTCAGGCCATTAGGGGTAGAGTTTACTTAAAAAAAAAACAACAAAAATAAAAAATAAGTAAATTTAAAATGGCATCTTCAATTATTTGAAATTCTAGCTATGCTGCCAGTTAGAGATGATCTTTTAGTATAGTAAGATCTAGATGATACTCGTCTCATCAAGCACTTTTAAGGATGAAACTTTACTTTAAAATAGGTAGTTGGTTAACAATTATTGGGGAAAGTTGGCCCCAAAAAACTAACGACAGAAGCTTCTTTCTATAATTACAAAATACCTCTCAAAGTATTCACAATCCCTTCTCTGTTCCAATGGAAGGCAGACAAAAGGAGCCTGGCCATCAGACTTCTACAAGTTCATCTCCCTCCTAGAACTGAGTTAGGGAAAAACTTTCTGAGTGAGCATAAAAGGCCAGATATCTGGTCAGACGCACTCCATCTAAGGAAAAGGGAGAGGCCAATGCTTCCCTGGAGTCCCTCTGCTCACTCCAAGCAGGATATTCCTATGATGGCTTCTAGTTCATGGACATCAAGTACTGCTTCAGAACCCGAGGAAAGATCCCGAGGCACGTGGCTGCTTCTGGGTTAGGGGGTGTCCATGCACCTGCGTGCAGGCAGCACCCTCCTTCTGCCAGTGTGGATGGATCATTTGTTTACTCCAAGTCCTACTATTTGCATCTGGGTTCTCATTCCTAGTGAGCAAAAGGACATTCACCTCTTGTGAATTTCACATGTACAACAAGACTTAATCTTCCCACCTACACCGAGAAGCAGGTATCATCAGCAGCATTTCATAGATGAGAACATTGAGGATCTGAGTGGTTAGCGAATAGTCCAAAGTCGGAGGTAATAAATGGTAGAAATAACTCTCCTGTTCAGCCTGACTCTCAAGTCCAGACTCTACGCTACTCCATAATCAAAGACCACAAAGATGAAAGGGGGGAAAAATTCAGAGATAAAGACAGAAAATATGAATAAAAAACATTATTTTTTCCCCTTAAACAGCATGCCTGTACTTGACTAGTAAATCAAACACATAGAGATTGTAAGAAGGAGACTATGAAATTAAAGATGCTACTGATCAAACAGCATAAAAAGAATCAGTTTTAGATTTTCCTGAAACATGCTGGAACAAGACAGATGGGACAAAGGAAGAGGAAGCAGAGGCAAGACTTAAATGTGATCTGGACTAGGTTTAAGGCAGCAACAGAATGTCAGCCTGGAAATAAACACAAGCTGACCGGAAAGCTGCCTCCACACCATTGCCTAACGGTCAACCAGTGTATGTGTTGCTTTTATTAATGCAATTTATTATTCTCTTGTCTGACAGTGGCCAATTCAGTTGGGTGCTTCCCAGGCTGCCAAAGTCATTTTGCAGCCGACAGATATCCGCACACCGATGGAGATTTCTAGGACGAGGGCACTATTTACCTGGGGCAGGCAAGTGCAGACAGAGCCATCAAACCTAGACACACTGTCTGCCAGTTTCACTGTGTGATTTGTAGAAGATAATGCATTAACAGATATTAGTTAGGGTTCACTTCTAGGGCATAATCATCTATATGCAAAACACTAGTAACCAACTGGCACTTTTTCAAATATCTATAATCCCAGAGGACAGTGGTAGATTTTTTTTTAATAAGAATCATCAACTAGAGCTTCTAGGCATAGCCCAGATATCAGCAAAATAAATCTACCGTTGGTATAAGAAAACTAGAAGCCCAGAGGGAAGGCGTTTCTAAAATGGAATCAATTATCTGTTTCTATTATTGTGATGCTTTACCCATAATATCTTTATATTAGTCACAAAAGCAGTAATTTCAGAAGCTGGTAAATGTCTCCATGAAAAATATATGCTCATGTTCAAATTAGATCATCATGAAAATACTAAATTTCTCTAACCACTTGCTCTTCTCCCAAACCTAAATCCATCAGTCTTCTCACTGGAATAAAACATAAATTTAAAATACTGTCCTTCATTGAACCATAATTTAAATACTTTAAAATGAGCTTCCACTGAGTTCAGAAAAGTCTTGGACAGTACCTGGCAGGCAGAAGCAAGGAGCCCTTTATACAACAGATATTACAGCAAACCAGCAGGAGCTCCTAGGGGTTGCTGGACACTTGAAAAGAGCAGCTGAAGCTCTTGAGACATCAGGGTATGTATAACCCTATAGTTCTCATTCTCTCCCTTTCCTTGTCAGTTCACACACTCCCTTCCTGGAAGTTGCTTTTTCTACCAACAACAGTTTTCAAAGGGTGGCGTGGGGATCCCTATGTGTAAGACAAAATGTCACTTGTCTTTTCCACTCCTGTTCCCACTGGCTAATGGGAAGTGGACTGTGTTCGTGCACTTTAAAAATGTCTTGGTTTTAACAGCTGACATGGTAAATATCGATAGTATAACAAGAGGTGAGGTGGTATACATTTAACAACTGGCTCCCCAAGGGGAAAAACAGCTGATTTGTAGCATTCGCCACTGCACAGTGTAAATACTCCCACCATGGCCAATGACAAGCTAGCAAGGTGATATTCCTGATCTCAAAGTAAGGAAGGGATGTGCACAGTCAGCTCTTGCAAACGCAAACCAGTACAAGCTGGTTCTAGCATCCCACAAGACAGAACCCACATAAACAAGAGTGCTTTTGGGGGAGCCTGGCTGGGTCAGTCAGAAGAACACGCAACTCTTGATCTCGGGATTGTGAGTTTGAGCCCTACGCTGGGTGTAGAGATTACTTAAAAACAAAACCTTAAAGAAAAAAAGTGCTTTTAGGTTTTCAACAACTTTAAAGAATACAGAGGGATCCTGAGACCAAAAAAAAAAATCTGAGAACAATTGCTCTACAGTAATTTTTTTCAAATCATGGGTTGTGACCCACGAGGAATAAAATAAAATTTAGTTCATCTCAAATACCATTTTTAAAAAGATGTTAACACAAAAATACTAGTTATCACAGGTAATAAGAGTATTGTTTTATGAAACTGGGTCACGATATAAAATGTTTTTCTTACTATGGGTCACCGTTTTTAAATGCAAAACATTAGGGGCAGCAAACTGGAAAATATTAGGCACACGATGGCTCTGTACATTTTGATCTCATAGCCTGTGCAACAACAGACTCTGGGAGAGAGAACAACTGATGGAAAGAGGCAATACAGCCAAGAACAGGGACTGCCCGCTGACAAATTCACTGGGCAGGGCCTCTCAGAAGAGAACGGGAGTCACCACCTGCCCAGTAAGGATGCCAATGCTTATCCACCCTCATTTGTATTTTTCAGATACCCACTCTCTCCCCTGAAAGTAGAGGTAGAAGAGTAGCAGTGAGAATAGGCCACGTTAACTGTAAGGAGCACCCCTCCTACTGAGTCCATATCCAAACAGGCAGAAGACTACTCCTTTCTTTCAGTAAGGTGACTTTTATACGCAAGTTAGAAGTGCTGTAATTCAGCATTCTCACGCTCACTCAGGAGCAGGACATACAATTAAGAGCCTACCAGCAAACCTCTAAACAAATCCTCTAAGGATTTGTTACAAGCTCAGAAATGGCCTTGAAGTCTTCCTTCCAAAGGCAGAGTCACCTCATAGGCACAGATCTTGTCAGTGGAACAGTACAAAGAGCTAACAAGCCTAAATATTCACAATTTTCATATTGAAACATTTCTAATTACAGCCACAAACCCCAATATTGAGTTCTTTTTAAAAGTCAATTTTCAGGGTACGGTGATGCAACAGAGCTCTCAACAAAAAGAAATTCTAAACCTTACTAAACATTGTAAACTCATGGACACTTCACAGTATAAGACACTGTATTTAAATTTTCTACTTCTAGGTACTCATGATTCTATAAACAAGTTCATGGCAGTGCTGGCTCGGTAAAATTCACTTCATTGTTTAAGTTTTTCACAAAATTAAAGAAGTCCATAAAGGGGTTTTCTATTAGAGAGTTATAAAAAAAATCTACTCTACCAGTACACTATAAATGTTCTCCCTCAATATATCTATATTTCAAGCCAAGTGCCAGCAAGAGGCAGAAAATTCTAGAGTTTTATCTTGACTTTGACCCCTTTCTGTATAAGAAAAATATTTTAATGTGGGAAAAAAGTGGGGGAGATTGTTCATGTTTGAACAGTTACCTGGCATTCGCAGCTTTCAGGTCACAGAAATGAGTGAGTAAAGTTCTTACAACATCATTGCAGATGACTTTAACCACATCCACGTGGCTCAGTCTGTGACGCAGCTGTCTGGCAATTTCCCAAAAGTCTTCCAAGAGCAGGTGGTAAAGCTGTCCCTCATCTCTGCTGAGATTTCCATACCAGGACAGAACGTAATCTCTATAACTGTAGTCAAACACTACCAGGAATAAACAAAGCAATGAGTAAATCTTAGACGAAAGAAGCATATACCAAGACCGCATTTCTACTAGACGCTGAGGACCTACTATTCAATATTCACTGTTTAAAATATAAAGAGAGTAGATAACACAAGAGAAGACACAATCTTTCCTAGAATATTTGAAAATAAAAAGATTCTCAACTAACTAAAATTCTAGAGGTGTGGTGACCATATGTCCTGAATTTTTGTGGACAGCCCAATTTCTAAATATTCTATCCTGGGGCCAAACTATCTAAATTTATCAAAAAACAGAGCATCTTACACAGTGGCAACACACTTACCGAGTCTGCCAGTCATCAATTTATTGCCTCTCGCTTCCAAATTCACCCTTTCTTGCCCTGCTTTATGATACTGGAGATAGACCATGTAAACATTTCTTTGCCAACCCATACCATGTTAGAGTTTGTCAGGAGAGGATGCTGGGGGGACTGTGGAGGAGGAAGGGGCTTCTTCTCATCCTGGTTCCTGTGTGCTCTTCTCTGATTGCTCCTGCAGTGTGCGGCGGGCAACAGTAGGTGGGGCATCAGATGGCCTCACCCCCCGCAGATTCTAATGGCATTCAGAGGGCAGCTCCCCAGAGAAGTCTGCTAGTACCCTGGGGCGGCTTCCCGTAGCCTGTGGCATCTCCCCCAAACTTCTCCACCATTACCTGGGTGAGACCTGGATCTCAACTTGGGGGTGAAGAAGGAACCCGCTCCCAAACGCATCCCTCCTTGAAGTGCTCTGCCTTGGCCCCAGAAGTAGTGATTGCTCCCCTTATCTACTCTTCCTATATTCTTTGGAGTTCTTTTTATTCCTCAGTAGTCAAGTCCCTTGGCAAGTTAATCATTCTTTATATTAAACTTTCTTGTTCAAGTATTATGTGGTTTCTGTCTCTTAATGAGACCCCAACTAATGCAGGAAGAATCCCCTAAGTCAGAGATCACACCAGGCTCAGCATCTGTGGCTGACAACCTTCTTTGGAAAATTTCTAGTATCTCTTTTCTTAATTCTGGATCAATTTTATGCCTTGGAAATAAAAACCCTTAGCTCTAGAGCACTGCTGTCCCAACAGAAATAGGAGAGTCACATATATAATTTTAAGTGTCTAGTAGCCACACTAAAAAAGGAAAAAAGAAACAGGTTAAATTTTAATAATATGTTTCAACTAATATATCCAAAATATTATGATTTCAATATATAATCAAGACTATCAATTAATGAAGTTTTTTTTTAAGATTTTATTTATTTATCAGACAGAGAGAGACACAGCAAGAGAGGAAACACAAGCAGGGGGAGTGGGAGAGGGAGAAGCAGGCTTCTCACCAAGCAGGGAGCCCGATGCAGGGCTCGATCCCAGGACCCTGGGCTCATGACCAGAGTGAAGGCAAATGCTTAACTATCTGAGCCACCTGGGCACCCCAATTAATGAGATTCTTTTCCCATGCTAAGTCTTCACCATCTGGTACATATTTTATACTTTCAGCACATCTTAATTTGGACTAGCCACATAACTCAATCGCCACTTGCACACAGCAGTTCTCTGTTGCTCAAGGCAGCTCAAGTCCATATAGAAGATGAAGACTGAAAAATAAAAATGTTACTGGACTAAAGTCGTGATTTTCCCAAGGGAGGAAGAACACAGCCCCATATCCATGTTTCAGCATAAGGATACCTGTACTATTTTTTAAGCACTGCTTATTTCTCAAGGTTTTCTCTTTCCTTCTTCAAATACCACTTGATTTGGCTTAATTTTGATATGACCATACTTTGTCTCAGATAAATAGTCTATCCTCTTGCTTTGCTTTGTTCCCAAGAATCCTGTGGAACAAAAAGTAACTTGGGATCCTGATTTACTGCACACCTGGCCCACAAATGTCTGACCCATAATTCTCAAATAATTCTGCAGGCCAGGACTGGGTGCTTGTTTTATTCATCTTGATTGCTATACACCAATTTTAGATGGGCTTAGGTGGGGGGGAGATGGGAAGGTGGCAGGAGGGAGATCACAGTTCTTAGAAAACTGAATAGCAAATGGAACCTCCAGCTCAGAGTTCATCTTATGTAAGGATTCCATATATGTGCAAAAGCCCACAAGTCAAGGAAAGCCCCGTTCTTGTTTTAATATTCTGTGATGGCTTTTTTTTCTCAGAATATCAACTATGAAAGTATTATCCAATGCTTTTCCACATTTCCAGAATTTCTGCATTGCAGCTTTATAATAATTCACAAAATGGCATCTTAAATCCCATAGGTCAAAAACATACATAAATCATCAAGAATTTTGTTCACAGACACATATGTACAAAGGTTTAGCTAAATCCTCAAAGTGATTCCACTGGCCTCAGTAGTGGGATAAGACACTTAAGACAGCTTAAGCTTTATAGCTGAGAACGATTACTTGCCAAAGACTAAGGGGCAGGCATTTAAAAGAAAAAAAAAAAAAAAAGAGATACTACCTCAATCTTTCATTTTTCATTAAATAAGCATTTAATTCTGGTATGTACGGCTTCCAGTATATAAGGTAGAATAGATATCTGCTGGACACAAAAGAAAAGGCAAAACAAAAGCAAAACCAACAAATAAATCATTTCCTAAACCTTTTGGCTATTTTCTGATCACTTCCAAATATTAATTTGAACAAATGGTTATGTTTTCTAGATTTTACAAAAAGTAGCCACATCTCATTCCTAATTGGACTATTCCATTTAGGAGAAAGCAGAAATGGTTTCTGACCTGGATATTTAAGAAATTGGAGCAAAAACAGGAGTAGGCTAATCCCATAATCTCACTTATTGACAAAAAGTAGACCATAGCTCCTACACAGTAATTGGTTACACATCCTCTCAAGAAATTGAAGCTCCAAGAAGTGAAATAACTTGCTCAAAGTCAAATAAGTGGTAAAGCCAAGTGTCCTATCTGCCAGTCAAACACTCTTCCTACTCAGCACACTGTAGTCCTGCATGAAGGTGGAACAAGTCACATGAGTAAAAGACACGAGAAATCTGAATAGCGGCCCTTTCCATTGGATATCCAGCTTCTTTAAAACATTTATATGAAAAAAATATGCTAAAAATTGTCCTAGAAGGCACTAATAGGACCAATGGGTGGAAGTCATAAGAAATTGTTTTTTCCGTTCAACATAATGAATAAAATCATTAAAGCTATTCAAGATTCACAGTAAATGGTGAATATTCTATCATAAGAAACTTTTAAAACGAGCTGGATATCCAATGGACAAGGATGACCTAGAAAAATTACTTCCTGAGATGGGGGGCTGAATTATGTAATCTCCACAGACTCTTGTCTGCAAAGCTTTTATATCCTTCTGGTAAGAGCCACCGTGACTACAAAGCACTGCTAATTTGTTCATTTGCAATTCTTTCTCCCTTACTCTCTTATTAAACAAAGTTGTCATACCACAGAATTTTTAACTAGTAGCAAATAAACCTATAACCCGAAACGTTTGGGAAATAGAAGCATTTTTCCTTTCGTTAAAATTTAGTTTCAAATTATAGAAGGAAATTAAAAGCAATTATAAGAGACTTAATATCTTTAAAATAAGATCTTCTTAGCACGCTAAAGGATTTATGTGAAGGGCATATTCATCTACATAATTTCCCATTACACATGTTAACCACACACTGCATATGTTAATTAATACAGCTCTAAAATACTCCTCCAATACTACATTTTTGTTAGGAATTGATAAAAATGAATATGGGTAAAAATCTCAACTCAGGGGCGCCTGGATGATTCAGTCAGTTAAGCATCTGCCTTCCATTCAGGTCATGATCTCAGGGTCCTGGGATCGAGCCCCGCATCCCGCTCCCTGCTCAGTGGGGATCCTGCTTCTCCCTCTCCCTCTGCCTGCCACTCTGCCTACTTGTGTGTGTGCTCTCTCTCTCTCTCTGTCAAATAAATAAAATCTTCAAAAAAAAAAAAACACAACTCAGTAATAGAAGATATACCTGGAACTAACAAATCTCTATCAATAGCTTATCAGTACACCTTTAACCTAAGTATTATAAAAATATAGCAAATATAAAAAGTGTGAAACAAGGGCAATTGGCTGGCTCAGTCCATAAAGCATGTGACTCTTGATCTCAGGTCATGAGTTTGAGCTCCATGTGGGACAAAAAAAAAAAAAAAAAGAAGAAGAAGAAAAGAAAAGTATAAAACAGAGCCATGATTCTAAGTATATATTATGTAGCTAAATATACTCATTTATATACAAGTATATACATATACTCATTTAGATACAAGTGCACATATGAACAAAATATTTTAAAATATATCCTACGGATCAATTTGAAGAGACACAGAAATTCATGATAAAATTATTTTATGGTCTCTACTAAGAGATAAGCAGAAATAATATAACAAACCCCAATGAGAAATGGAAGAACATTTATGCTCATTGCCAAGCAAAGAGTTTTTCTTCTAAACACATAATAGCAGCCAACAAAAATTCAAGTGCTATTATCAGATCTATTTTCTAGACTACTCTCAATGAAATAAGCAGGTAAAAAGGAATCACTGCAGATTATAGAGAATGGAATAACATGTTTGGAACTTTGAGTAGGATTAATGTAAAAAAGAGGATTTAGGGTAACAAAGTAGGGAAAAACTAGAAGTGAGGAAACCAGTTAAAAGGCTACCATGTTAGTCTAGATAACGTGATATTAGGTAATCTCTACCTATAAATTTTCAGAACAAAGAATGACTCAAACTAAGGAAATAGTATAAGAGAAAGAGCTCCATGAGAGCCATTCTTCTATCTCTGCCTTTTCCCCAGAGCAATTCAAGATACAGTCTTCCCTGCCCAAGAGGTAAGGCCCCAAGGGTCATAAACATCCATGACCTGAGTCCCTTTGAACAAAGAAAGAGAGCTCATTCAACCAGGAACTGGCCTAATGGTAATAAGGACAATAATAATTCCATTGTTCATATAGATAGCACTCTGCAGTTTGCAAAGT